TTAAGAACCAAAATTAATATTTTAGCAAATATAAAAACCCACTAGTCTGCTATGTTAAAAAAAATTATATAAATTAATCTCTTATTCTTACTCCCTCTGTTGATTTTTTTTTTTCATTTAAGATTTGTTCGAAAATAATGGTCGTCTTTTCATATTTTAAAAACAGACAAGTAATTTTTTTATTTTAACGTTATAATTATTATTTTTATTTTTATTTTTATTTTTTTTAACATAATTATTATTTTTATTTTAATTATCCATCCTATCATAATTTAAATTTTATTATTTTTATTTTTTTAGGGGTAATATAAATTAAAAATATAAATTGTCCCCAAATCCTTACTATGGAGATAAAATCAAAAAATTTCTATTATTCTAAGGTAAAGAAAGTAGTTAAGGAATGATATGTGCAATACTAAACGAAAATTAATTATGTAGTAATATATTTTTAAACTAAGTTAAAGTACTACTCCCCTTGTCTAAAATTAGTTGTTTTATTTTTTTATTTTTTACACACATCTAATAGAATATAAATAAAAATTGAAAGATTTTTCTCATATATAATTTTTGTTAAATAATTTTATTTAACAAAACAATTTCTATTTATTATTAATTTACTACAATCTATAAAAATAATTACTAGTTACTAACAATTCAAGTATCTCATTAATAATTTTTTGTAAAAATAAGAAAATTTATATTTAAATTATATAATATGATCCGATTGCAAATACAAAAAAATAGTGAAGTATCTTAGCTAATGAATGGTAAAAGTTAACGATGAGATAATTGTGATCGTAAATATTAAGATAATGAGGATGAATTGAATTGAAAGTTAAAAAAAAGGTGTCACCGATAAACTTATAAATTCAAAAATATGAAAACTAAATTAAAATTTATGATAAAAGTAGACGACCTTACATGTATCCTACCCAACATTTCTTATGTTTTATCTTTTTCTTTCTCAAATCATTAGCATATGTTTTGGTAAGAAACAAAGAAGAAGTGTCCCAAGGAGACTTAATTGATAAAAACCAAACTTGATATCAAGTTTGAATCTTTAATTAACTGGGAAGATATTTGAAAAAAGAAAA